TTTAACGCACGTGTTTAACGCACGTGTTTAACGCACGCGTTTGACGCACGCGTGCAGGGCAGCGGTGGTGTAGCGTCTGGCGCGCTGCGCTGCGGACCCGATTCACGCTCGCGGCCATCGGCGGTGGCGATCTTCTGAACGGGCCCTGGGGGCCTCCCCCCTAAGGTCAACTCAGCCAAAGGCGGCCGGGCGTGGTGCTGGCCACCCACCCCCTGGTGTGCCGTGCCGGCATATCATAGGTGCTGCTCGCTAGCAGCACTTGCCCCGACAAGTGTGTTAAGGGCTATACGGGGGATCTTTGTCTTGGTGCGTGTGTGTGTGTGTGTGTTGTGTGTTGATGTACATGTGCATGGATGCGTGTTGGCATATAGCGGTTGTTGTTGTTGTTGTTGTTGCATGCGTGCTTATGTATGTGTGTGTGTATGTAGGTATGAATGTGTGTGTGTGTGTGTGCGTGTGTATGTGATGTGTGTGCGTGCGTGTTGGTGCGCGTGTATGAATGTATGTGGAGCCTCTTTCGCACCGTACGTAGCCAGCCATTATGCCCTTCGTAGGTGCTACTCGCTAACGGCACTTGCCCCAAAATAATTTTTTGAGGCTATTACGGGGGATCTTGACGTGCGGTTGTGTAGAGCTGAGCTACGCCGCACTCCCAACATGGTGACAGGGGTCCAATTCCGAGTCCATGGATAACATCACGGGGGTGGGGGGGGGGTTAACTCCCCTAGGTCGACTCAGCCTTAAATGAGTAACCTGATGCGATGTGTAAAAACATCGCCACTGGGGAGACGAATGCGGCCGGGCGTGGTGCTGTCCACCCACCTTACCGCACGTGCCGTGCCGGCTTCCACAGGTGCCGCTCGCCAACAGCGCTTGCCCCAACAGTCTGTTGAGGCTTTACTGGGCGACCATTGGCTTTGTCTTTGTGTATACGTGAGCTGGTATAGTGTGTGTGTGTGTGCGTTGGTGTGCGATTGAGAGTCGGTGTGTGTACGTGTTAGGAAATATGTGTGTGTGTGTGTGTGTCTTCGCTAACAGCGCTTGCCCCAACAGTTTGTTAAATCCGTACGTGGGTCGTTGGGGATACAAAGGCGGCCAGGCGTGGCGCTGCCATCCGTGGCGTTAATCGGTGCTCGCTAAAGGCACTTTGTCCCATAAAGTCGATTGAAGGCCACGTGGGGGGATCTCTGTATTCGGCCAGACGATTGGATTCACGTTATTTTTTTGTAATAAATGAACGACTTTTTTCTTTTATAATTTCCTCTGTTCAACAATTAAATTGCAATACAGCACGTAAAAAAAATAAAAATGTTGTAACTTTAATCATTTCGTCCGCTGACATGTTCATAATTGACTCTTAATCATTGTAAATCACATTTATTTGAATAATTTACAAACTCATGTTTAAATATGTAAGTCGTTGGCTTAAAGCTACTTTTCCAACGGGCGAAGAGTTAATCTTTCACGAGTTAAACTTTTCACGCTAATAATTCAAACCATCGCATTTTAATGCCACCTTACATTGCATTCGTGTTATCGATTAAATATTAATCGCCTCCATGAATGCAATTTTCCAACGTTTAGTATGATCGGGAGGGTCTCACGCGTTGGAAAACGCGCGAGCCCGCTCTGCGAGGAAATCCCCGTCGATGTCGCAGGGAACGCTTCATCCCCTCGGACCGCGCACATCGCTCTTGTCGAGGCCGTGCGTTTACGATGAACTACCGGGGATTGTTTTGCCGTTTTCAATGTCCACGTGACGACCACGACGACGAGCCGCTCCCCGTCGGAGCTGTCACTTGGTGGTGGCCGTGCCGCTTTTGAAAAAGAGGCACGCAGGCTCAGTGAGGCCTTGCCTGGTAAAATGAAAACATTTACGTTTAGAATACGAGTGGTCGGGCAGACCGGACTGGATCTGTGGATTATGAGAGGTCTGGCGGATCGGACTGGATCTGTGGAATAGGAGTGGCCTGGTGGGTTGGACTGGATCTGTGGAATACGAGATGTCTGGTGGATGGGACTGGATCTGTGGAATAGGAGTGGCCTGGTGGATTGGACTGGATCTGTGGAATAGGAGTGGCCTGGTGGATGGGACTGGATCTGTGGAATATGAGTGGCCTGGTGGATTGGACTGGATCTGTGGAATAGGAGTGGCCTGGTGGGTTGGACTGGATCTGTGGAATAGGAGTGGCCTGGTGGGTTGGACTGGATCTGTGGAATAGGAGTGGCCTGGTGGATTGGACTGGATCTGTGGAATAGGAGTGGCCTGGTGGATGGGACTGGATCTGTGGAATATGAGTGGCCTGGTGGATGGGACTGGATCTGTGGAATAGGAGTGGCCTGGTGGGTTGGACTGGATCTGTGGAATATGAGTGGCCTGGTGGATTGGACTGGATCTGTGGAATAGGAGTGGCCTGGTGGATTGGACTGGATCTGTGGAATAGGAGTGGCCTGGTGGATTGGAATGGATCTGTGGAATATGAGTGGCCTGGTGGATTGGAATGGATCTGTGGCATATGAGTGGCCTGGTGGGTTGGACTGGATCTGTGGAATAGGAGTGGCCTGGTGGGTTGGACTGGATCTGTGGAATAGGAGTGGCCTGGTGGGTTGGACTGGATCTGTGGAATAGGAGTGGCCTGGTGGGTTGGACTGGATCTGTGGAATAGGAGTGGCCTGGTGGAGTGGACTGGATCTGTGGAATAGGAGTGGCCTGGTGGATGGGACTGGATCTGTGGAATAGGAGTGGCCTCGTGGATTGGACTGGATCTGTGGAATAGGAGTGGCCTGGTGGATTGGACTGGATCTGTGGAATAGGAGTGGCCTGGTGGGTTGGACTGGATCTGTGGAATATGAGTGGCCTGGTGGGTTGGACTGGATCTTTGGAATATGAGTGGCCTGGTGGGTTGGACTGGATCTGTGGAATAGGAGTGGCCTGGTGGATTGGACTGGATCTGTGGAATAGGAGTGGCCTGGTGGATTGGACTGGTTCTGTGGAATAGGAGTGGCCTGGTGGGTTGGACTGGATCTTTGGAATATGAGTGGCCTGGTGGGTTGGACTGGATCTGTGGAATAGGAGTGGCCTGGTGGATTGGACTGGATCTGTGGAATAGGAGTGGCCTGGTGGATGGGACTGGATCTGTGGAATAGGAGTGGCCTGGTGGGTTGGACTGGATCTGTGGAATAGGAGTGGCCTGGTGGATTGGACTAGATCTGTGGAATGAGTGGCCTGGTGGGTTGGACTGGATCTGTGGAATAGGAGTGGCCTGGTGGATTGGACTGGATCTGTGGAATAGCAGTGGCCTGGTGGATTGGACTGGATCTGTGGAATAGGAGTGGCCTAGTGGATTGGACTGGATCTGTGGAATAGGAGTGGCCTGGTGGATTGGACTGGATCTGTGGAATAGGAGTGGCCTGGTGGATTGGACTGGATCTGTGGAATAGGAGTGGCCTGGTGGATTGGACTGGATCTGTGGAATAGGAGTGGCCTGGTGGATTGGACTGGATCTGTGGAATAGGAGTGGCCTGGTGGATTGGACTGGATCTGTGGAATAGGAGTGGCCTGGCGGATTGGACTGGATCTGTGGAATTGGAGTGGCCTGGTGGGTTGTACTGGATCTGTGGAATATGAGTGGCCTGGTGGATTGGATTGGTTCTGTGGAATAGGAGTGGCCTGGTGGATTGGATTGGTTCTGTGGAATAGGAGTGGCCTGGTGGGTTGGACTGGATCTGGGGAATACGATATGTCTGGTGGATTGGCCTGGTTCTATGGAATGAGTGGCCTGGTAAATTGGACTGGATCTGTGGAATAGGAGTGGCCTGGTGGATTGGACTGGATCTGTGGAATAGGAGTGGCCTGGTGGGTTGGACTGGATCTGTGGAATAGGAGTGGCCTGGTGGGTTGGGCCGGATCTGTGGAATACGATATGTCTGGTGGACCGGACAGGATCTGGCTCTAGGCGCCACGAGGGGCGTTGGCCAGTCGGCTATTCGTAGCAGGGCAACGCCAAACTGGACATCTGTGATAAAGATCTTTTACAAACAGCTCGAAAGAACTGAGAGCGTGGGCAACGCTGTCGCTCAGACCAGCGGCGAGATCGCCGAGATTATTTGCCCGCGACACATTTCGACGCGACGATAAGCCACTTATGCCGAGCCGTTGCTCGTGATCGTCCGGTTCGCTCCTAACAAAAGAGCCACCCATAATCTCAGCGGGGCCTTACCTGGTAAGATAAAAAATAAAACATCGGGGTTTATAGATTTTTTTAGGGATTGCCGCTCAGCGTCCCTCGGGACGGCGGTGGCGGCACACCGTGACCACGGCGACCGGGGGAGGTGTCGCAAGGATTGGGGGGGGGGGGGGGAGGTGCAACGGTGGCTAGGAGATGTTGACTACCTCGCCTGGTACGCAGGAGGTCGTGGGTTCGATCAAGACCCTGACGATGCCTGCTGTATGTTTGGAGTTTGAGTGTCTCTCTCTCTCATCATCATCATCATCACGGTGGCTAGGAGATGTTAACTATCTTACCTGGTATGCAGGAGGTCGTTGGTTCGATATCGACCCTGACGCCTGCTGTATATTTGTAGTATGCGTGTCTCTCTCTCTCTTTCTCATTATCATCACGGTGGCTAGGAGATGTTAACTACCTTGCCTGGTGTGCAGGAGGGCGTGGGTTCGATCCCTACCCTGACGACGCCTGCTGTATATTTGTAGTTTGCGTCTCTCTCTCTCTCTCATCATTATCACGGCGGCTAGGAGATGTTAACTACCTCGCCTGGTACACAGGAGGTCGTGGGTTCGATCCCGACCCCGATGATGCCTACTGTATATTTGGAGTTTGCGTGTCTCTCTCTCTCACATCATCATCACGGTTGCTAGGAGATGTGAACTACCTCGCCTGGTACACAGGAGGTCGTGGGTTCGATCCCGACCGCTGACGCCCGAGTTTGTACGTTCTCCCCGCGGTCGCGTGGATTTTTCTCCGGGTCCTCCGTCGTCAATATTTTTTTCACTTCACTTCACCCCCATCCACATTTCGGAGCGATGTCGCGCGCTTTTAGAGCAGCCGGCTGCTGCCGATACATTACCCAAACGACGGCGATATCGGCCACTTTCGTTTGTGCTGGCCGGGGGTCCGCTTCCGACAACGCAGCCACGATAGGCTCAGTGCGGCCTAATTACCTGGCACGAATGTTTTAAATTCATTATGATTTTTTGTAAAACATATATGTTTAAGGGATTCCCGCTCACCGCCCCGCGACGGCGGCTGTGGTGCCAGGAGCTCGGCTAGCGGAGGCGCCGCCGGAGCGAGGAGGAGGGCGTTGAGGGCGTCCTCCAGGCGGTTGTGGTGATCCATGAGGGCTGCGCGTGACTCCGCGCGGGTGAAGCCCATCTCCATGATGCGCAGCAGGGAGCGCTCGTCCACCTGCAGCAGAGGAGGTGGAGGCGGGCAACGGGGGGTGAGGAACCAGCCGGGGGGAACTACACAGTCGCAAAAAACACCGCAGACAGCAACGCCACCGCCGACACGACCCACAGCTACAGCTCCACCGCCAACACCGCCGCCAACACCTCCACCACCAGCAATACCACCAACACCTCCACCACCAGCAATACCACCAGCAATACCACCAACACCTCCACCACCAGCAATACCACCAGCAATACCACCAACACCTCCACCACCAGCAATACCACCAGCAATACCACCAACACCTCCACCACCAGCAATACCACCAGCAATACCACCAGCAATACCACCAACACCTCCACCACCAGCAATACCACCAGCAATACCACCAACACCTCCACCACCAGCAATACCACCAACACCTCCACCACCAGCAATACCACCAGCAATACCACCAACACCTCCACCACCAGCAATACCACCAGCAATACCACCAACACCTCCACCACCAGCAATACCACCAGCAATACCACCAACACCTCCACCACCAGCAATACCACCAGCAATACCACCAACACCTCCACCACCAGCAATACCACCAGCAATACCACCAACACCGCCACCAACACCAGCACCGAAACCACCACCACCAACATCACCATCGCCCCCTTACAGCTCCACCACCTATCGCGCCACAACACCACCGCCTAACACAACACCAGCGCCTACACAACACCAGCGCCTAACACAACACCAGCGCCTACACAACACCACCGCCTAACACAACACCAGCGCCTACACAACACCACCGCCTACACAACACCAGCACCTACACAACACCACCGCCTACACAACACCACCGCCTAACACAACACCAGCGCCTACACAACACCAGCGCCTAACACAACACCACCGCCTACACAACACCACCGCCTAACACAACACCACCGCCTACACAACACCAGCGCCTACACAACACCACCGCCTACACAACACCACCGCCTACACAACACCACCGCCTACACAACACCAGCGCCTACACAACACCACCGCCTACACAACACCACCGCCTAACACAACACCACCGCCTACACAACACCACCACCTACACAACACCACCGCCTACACAACACCACCGCCTACACAACACCAGCGCCTAACACAACACCACCGCCTACACAACACCACCGCCTACACAACACCACCGCCTACACAACACCAGCGCCTACAGGTCCACATAACTACCACCCACAGCCCCACAACATCACGACAACCAACACACTACCACCACCCACAGCTCCAGAACCACCACCACCTAGAGCCCTACAAAGAAAAAGATCCCCCATATAGCCTTAACAGACTGTAGGGGCAAGTGCTGTTGGCGAGTAACCTATGAAGGCCGGAACGGTACACGAGGGGGTGGGTGGCCAGCACCACGCCCGACCGCCTTTGTCTCCCCCAGTGGCGATGTTTTACACGGCGCACCAGGTACTCATTTGAGGCCGGGTCGAGCTAGGGGAGGCCCAGGACCGGTTCAGATAATCGTCACCGGTGGTGTTGGCCGTGAGCGGGAATCGAACCCGGGTCGCCAGGTTCGTAGCGCAGCACAGCGCTAACCGCTACACCGTCGCGCCCTACAACACACACACAACGACACACGCGCACATGCACAGGGTGGCCGCGCGAGCCACGGTGAATGACCGCAGGGGTTAATAATGCCCATGGCGCAGCGCCCGAAGGCAGACGAACGGCGCAGCGGGAAACACACGGGAACACTTTCCAGCGAGCGCCTACGAATCCCCGCGCTTGCGATGAGCACAGGCCGGCTACGCACGGCGCGAAAGGAGTTCAACGCACGTACACGCAGAGGGCCTGCTGGGCGCACGCCTTGTACGAACGAATTCATTCGCCGAATATTCATAGTTAACTGCCATGGTGGCTAGGAGATGTTGACCACCTCGCCTGGTATGCAGTTTGCGCGTCTCTCTTCTCCCCGCGGCCACGTTTTTCCCTTCCACAATTGGAATGCAAACGACACCTGCGTATGATTCGTCGTCCGTTCTGTACGTGTTCGGGGGGCGTTTCACAGACCTATATTACGATTCGCGTCGTGGTTTGTTTTGGTTTGTTTCAGCTGATGGCGCTGTGCGGACTCTCCAGCAACAGATCCGCTCATTCATACTGTAGGTACAACCCCCATCTCTTCCCACACAGGCCATCCGGCCCTCAGCTAAGAGCAACCCTACCCCTAGCGCTACCCCTATGCCATTCACTACCCCTACCCTTATCACTACCCTTACCACTACCCTTATCACTACCCCTATCACTACCACTATCACTACCCTTATCACTACCCCTATCACTACCCCTATCACTACCCCTACCACTACCCCAATCACTACGCCTACCACTACCCCTACCACTACCCCTACCACCACCCTTATCACTACCACTATCACTACCCCTATCACTACCCCTACCACTACCCCAATCACTATGCCTACCACTACCCCTATCACTACCCCTACCACTACCCCTACCACCACCCTTATCACTACCCCTAGCGCTACCCCTAGCGCTACCCCTACCACTACCCCAATCACTACGCCTACCACTACCCCTATCACTACCCCCTACCACTATCACTACCCCTATAACTACCCCCTACCACTACCCCTACCACTACCCTAATCACTACCCCTATCACTACCCCTACCACTACCCCTATCACTACCCCTATAACTACCCCTATCACTACCCCCATCACTACCCCCTATCACTACCCCTATCACTACCCCCTACCACTATCACTACCCCTATCACTACCCCTATCAATATCCCCTACCACTACCCCTACCACTACCCCAATCACTACCACTACCACTACCCCTATCACTACCCCTATCACTAGCCCCTACCACTACCCCTACCACTACCCCTACCACTACCCCAATCACTACCCCTACCACTATCCCTATCACTACCCCTATCACTACCCCTATCACTACCCCTACCACTACCCCTATCACTACCACTATCACTACCCTTATCACTACCCCTATCACTACCCCTACCACTATCACTACCCTTATCACTACCCCTACCACTACCCCTATCACTACCCCTTATCACTACCCCTATCGCTACCCCTATCACTACCCCTATCACTACCCCTACCACTACCCCCTACCACTATCACTACCCCTATCACTACCCCATCACTACCCCTATCACTACCCCTACCACTACCCCTATCACTAACCACTATCACTACCCCTACCACTACCCCCTACCACTATCACTACCCCTACCACTACCCCTATCACTACCACTATCACTACCCCTATCACTACCCCCTACCACTACCCCTATCACTACCCCCATCACTACCCCCTATCACTACCCCCATCACTACCCCCTATCACTACCCCTATTGCTACCCCCTACCGCTACCCCCTACCACTACCCCTATCACTACCCCTATCACTACCCCTACCGCTACCCCTTGCGCTACCCCTACCCCTATCACTACCCCTACCCTTATTACTACCACTATCACTACCCCTATCACTACCCTTACCACTACCCCAATCACTACCCCTATCACTACCCCTATCACTACCCCTACCCTTATTACTACCACTATCACTACCCCTATCACTACCCCTACCACTACCCCTATCACTACCCCTATCACTACCCCTATCACTACCCCTATCACTACCCCTATCACTACCCCTATCACTACCCCTACCACTACCCCTATCACTACCCCTATCACTACCCCTATCACTACCCCTATCACTACCCCTATCACTACCCCTATCACTACCCCTATCACTACCCCTACCACTACCCCAATCGCTGCCCCTCTCCCTGTCACAACCTCAACCCCTAATTAAGCACTGCTGCCTGTCCTGCTTTCACCATAACTACACCGCCACCACCACCACCACCGCGTTTAATAACAACCACAGCTCTTCATTATCTCGGCCACCACCACTTTCTGTACAATTTTATAATTGCTGCGAAGCTCTATGGAACGAGGAGCCGCTGTATATAAATATAAACACATCGACGCGAGATGCAAGATTAGAAAACGTCGGGCAAAAATTTGGCAAATATTGGGCTCCGCCTCTCCAACGTTGCGGTTTATGGGGCCGTCCATAAATGACGTCACGCGATTTTGGACGATTTCTGACCCTCCCCCCTCGTCACACGGCGTCACAAAAAGTCAGACCCCCCCCCCAAATATGACGTCACAAAGATCTGCCCCCCCCCCAAAAAAAAACATGTTTCCATTTTAAAAATAAAACATGCTTCAAATCGCTTTAAACTATTGTCATTGTAGTAGTGCGTATTTAATGTGGCGCTGCACTCTGATGTTGTAGGCGAAAACATTTGTTAAAAAGGAGGCGTTGGAAAGCTGAAATGTAGCATAAAATTAACTTGAAAATATTCATCATCTAACTAAAACTGCAGATGTTTAGAATATTATGTTGAAACTCTCTTATAATTATCATACATTAAAAGTAATTATAACTATAAAAAAATACTTGAAACTTTTCTAGGTTTGAAGCTTTCGTGACTGCAAGGATCCATACTCTTTGGTTCTATTCGGTATAGTCACGTAGGTAAAAAATAAAACAACAAAAATAACGACGTTTCGGCCACAACACAAGCGGCCTTCATCAGGTGAAGGGACCAGACTTTCTCGAGACAGTCTGGTCCCTTCACCTGATGAAGGCCGCTTGTGTTGTGGCCGAAACGTCGTGAATTTTTGTTGTTTTATTTTTTACCTACGTGACTATACCGAATACAACCAAAGAACTTGAAACTTTGTAGTAGAATGGAGCAAAATGGAAAGTACAATTATAACAATCACATATTCATTCCACAGAATGAAAAGCCCTGGTAGAATCATTAAAATCTAAATGTTGAATAACTAAATTTATGCTTTTCCATTCTCCGGTGGGTAGTGTTGAGTCTATGGTGCAGTGTTGAGTCTATGGGTA